GATCATATTACAAAGGCCTGTATAACACAAAACTGGAAAATGTAAAAGAAATGGACACTTTTTTAGATAAATACCATATACCAAAGTTACACCAGGACCAGGTGAACAATCTAAACAGACCTGTTGGTCGCGAAGAATTAGAAGCTGTTATCAAAAACCTCCCTACCAAAAAAAGCCCAGGACCAGATGGTTTCAATGCGGAATTCTACCAGAACTTCCAAGAAGAGCTAATACCCATACTCCTTAATGTATTCCACAATATAGAAACAGAAGGGTCATTACCTAATTCCTTTTATGAAGCTACAGTTACTCTGATACCAAAACCACACATAGACTCAACCAGGAAAGAGAATTACAGGCCAATCTCACTCATGAACATCGACGCAAAAATCCTCAACAAAATACTGGCAAACCGAATCCAAGAACACATGAGGAAAATTATCCATTATGATCAAGTAGGCTTCATTCCTGAGATGCAGGGCTGGTTCAACATACGAAAATCTATCAATGTAATCCAGCATATAAATAAACTGAAGGAAAATAACCATATGATCATCTCATTAGATGCTGAAAAAGCATTCGACAAAATTCAACATCCATTTATGTTAAAAGTCTTGGAGAGATTAGGGATACAAGGGTCATACCTAAATATAATAAAAGCTATATACAGCAAGCCGACAGCTAACATCAAATTAAACGGAGAGAAACTCAAAGCCATCCCGCTTAACTCAGGAACACGACAAGGATGTCCACTCTCTCCATACCTCTTCAATATAGTACTTGAAGTTCTAGCAATAGCAATAAGACAACATAATGGGATCAAGGGGATTCGAATTGGAAAGGAAGAAGTTAAACTTTCGTTATTCGCAGATGATATGATAGTGTACTTAGGCGACCCCCAAAACTCCACCAAAGAACTTTTATAGCTGATAAACAGCTTTAGTAATGTGGCAGGATACAAGATCAACTCCAAAAAATCAGTCGCCCTCTTATACACAAAGGATAGGGAAGCAGAGAGGGAAATCAGAGAAGCTTCACCATTCACGATAGCCACAAACAGCATTAAATATCTTGGGGTAAATCTAACCAAGGAAGTGAAAGATCTATTTGACAAGAACTTTAAGGCATTGAAGAAAGAAATTGAAGAGGATACCAAAAAATGGATGGATCTACCTTGCTCTTGGATTGGGAGGATCAACATAGTAAAAATGGCAATTCTACCTAAGGCAATTTATAGATTCAATGCAATCCCCATCAAGATCCCTTCAAAATTCTTCACAGATCTGGAGAGGACAATAATCAACTTTATATGGAAAAACAAAAAACCCAGGATAGCCAAAACAATCCTATACAATAAAGGATCTTCTGGAGGCATTACCATCCCTGACTTCAAACTCTATTACAGAGCTACAGTAATGAAAACAGTGTGGTACTGGCATAAAAACAGAGAAGTCGACCAATGGAATCGTATAGAAGACCCGGATTTTAACCCACAAACCTATGAACACCTCATTTTTGATAAAGGAGCTAAAAGTATACAATGGGAGAAAGAAAGCATCTTCAACAAATGGTGCTGGCACAACTGGATGTCAACTTGTAGAAGAATGAAAATAGACCCACATCTTTCACCGTGCACAAAACTCAAGTCCAAATGGATTAAAGACCTCAATATCAGCCCGAACACACTGAAAAGGATAGAAGAGAAAGTGGGAAATACCCTACAACAGATGGGCACAGGAGATCGCTTCCTATGTATAACCCCAGAAGCACAGACATTAAGAGCAACATTGAATAAATAGGACCTACTAAAACTGAGAAGCTTCTGCAAAGCAAAGGACACTGTCACTAAGACACAAAGGCAACCTACTGACTGGGAGAAGATCTTCACCAACCCCGCAACAGACAAAGTTCTGATCTCCAAAATATATAGAGAACTCAAGAAACTAGACTTTAAAATGCTAATTAACCCAATTAAAAAATGGGGCACTGATCTGAACAGAGAATTCTCAACAGAAGAAGTTCAAATGGCCAAAAGACACTTAAGGTCATGCTCAACTTCCTTAGCAATCAGGGAAATGCAAATCAAAACAACATTGAGATATCATCTTACACCTGTGAGAATGGCTAAAGTCAAAAACACCAACGATAACCTTTGCTGGAGAGGTTGTGGAGGAAGGGGTACCCTCATCCATTGCTGGTGGGAATGCAATCTTGTGCAACCACTATGGAAGTCAGTGTTTCGGTTTCTTAGGAAATTCGGGATCAACCTACCCCTGGACCCAGCAATACCACTCTTGGGAATATACCCAAGAAGTGCCCTATCATATGACAAAAGCATTTGTTCAACTATGTTCATAGCAGTATTATTTGTAATAGCCAGAACCTGGAAACAACCTAGATGCCCTTCAATGGAAGAATGGATGAAGAAAGTATGGAATATCTACACATTAGAGTACTACTCAGCGGTAAAAAACAATGACTTCTCTAATTTTGCATGCAAATGGATGGAAATAGAAAACACTATCCTGAGTGAGGTATCCCAGACCCAAAAAGATGAACATGGGATGTACTCACTCATAATTGGTTTCTAACCATAAATAAGGGTCACGGAGTCTACAATAGGTGAATCTTAAGAAGCTAAGTAAGAAGGGGAACCCAAGGAAAAACATATAGTTATCCTCTTGGCTAAGGGAAGTAGACAGAATTGCCGGGGAGAAAATTGGGATCTTGGGGTGGGGTGGGTTGGGGGTAAGGGGAGATGGGGAGAGAAAAGTTAGAAGGGAAGGAGGTCGGGCCTTGGGAAAGCAGGAGGATTGGGATAAAGGAAGGTTGGACAGGGGAGCACGGAACCACAATTCTTAGTTAAGGGAACCACTTTAGGGTTGGCAGGAGACCTGACCCTAGAGGGGCTCCCAGGTGCCCAAGCTGAGGTCCCCAGTTAGTTCCTTGGGCAGTTGAGAATAGGGAACCTGAAATGACCCTATCCTTGAGCAATACTGACGAATATCTTGCATATCATCATAGAACCTTCATCTGGTGATGGATGGAGATAGAGACAGAGACCCACACTGGAGCACTGGACTGAGCTCCCAAAGTCCCAATGAGGAGCAGAAGGAGGGAGAACATGAGCAAAGAAGTCAGGACCATGAGGGATGCACCCACCCACTGAGACAGTGGAGCTGATCTATTGAGAGCTCACCAAGACCAGCTGGACTGTGACTGAAAAAGCATGGGATAAAACTGGACTCTCTGAACATGGCGAACTATGAGGGCTGATGAGACGCAAAGGACAATGGCACGGGGGTTTGATCCTACGTAATGTGATGGCTTTGTGGGAGCCCAGCCAGTTTGGATGTTCACCTTCCTAGATATGGACGGAGGTGGGAGGTCCTAGGTCTTACCACAGGGCAGAAAACCCTGACCGCTCTTTGGACTGGAGAGGGAGGGGGAAAGGAGTGGGGGGATGGGGAGAAGGGTGGGAGGAGGGGGCGTAGGGGGGGAGAAGGGGGAGGGAAATGGGAGGCTGGAAGGAGGTGGAAACTTGTTTTTGTTTTTTTTTTTTCTCCTTTTCTCAATAAAAAAAAACAAATATAAATATTCCCAATTAAAAAAAAGAATAGTTAGTTATAGTTTTCCTTAGTTATGATAAAGATTATTGTAACTTTTACTTGATAACTGTTTTGTTATATGTAATTTTGCTATGTTAAAGTTAAAGCCTTTTTTTTTTTTTTTTTTTTTTGTTTAAACCGAAAAAGGGGAAATGATGGAGGAAGGTCATTGGCTAACAAAGGAACTGCCTTGGCCCATTTTATTGGTTAGAGGATAGGTGGGAGGAGTAAACAGAACAGAACACTGGGAGGAAGAGGAAGTGAGCTCAGACTCCACAGCTCTGCTCTCCAGAGCAGATGCCTCAGCAGAGACGCCATGCCCTGCTCCTGGGCAGACACACGCCATGAAGCTCCGACCCAGGATGGACTAGGCTAGAATCTTCCCGGTAAGACTGGTTCTCACAGATTATTAGAGATGGGTTGATCGGGATATCAGAATTAGCCAGTAAGGGCTAGAGCTAATGGGCCAAGCAGAATGGGTCAAGCAGTGTTTAAATGAATACAGTTTGTGTGTTGTTATTTCGGGCATAAACTAGCAGGCGGCTGGGGTGTTGGGGACGCAGCCCCGCTGCCCTTATTACTTCATTGGGGCCCTGTATCTTGCAGGCAACAGGAAGTGTTCTGAGATACTGGGTGATGGTATCTTGAGCATATATGAGACCTCAACGCCTGCCTTCACAGTGACACACTTCTCCCAACAAGGTCATACCTACTCTAACAAAGCCACACCTCCTAATAGTGCCACTTCTTTTGGTGGCTGTTTTTTTTTTTCAAACCACCAAAAAGGGGGGAGAAAAACTAAAAACATAGTTACATCCAGAATTTGCTTAATTGCATTAAGCAAAAAAGAAGGCTCCATAGAGGCTTTAGGTCCTCCAGCCTCTAGCCTTCGTACAGCTGTCTACATGGACTCTACTTATTAAAAATGCATTTTAAATAATGCAAACATTACTTTGACTGAAGATAGTCATAATGCTATGAACTGTCCTGGAATAGGTGACAGGGAATAAAAAGAATCACCAGGTCAAGAGCCAACAAACAACTAAGCCCCAGTTCAACAGACTGTGAGATACTGAACCTATGGACAGTTATGCAGCGAGTAAGATGAGGCCCATCTGTCTTCACTTCCTGCCACTGAAATCAAGGTGTTGGCTGAATTTCCTGAAACTAAGCAGGAAATCTATGCTCATGTCTCTGTCAGCTCTAGAAAATTCCTGCCTTCTTTGGTGAATAACCCCTTCTCTTTGCAATGGAAAGAATAGCTGGTCCCTCTGGCTCTCTCTTGCACTTAAAAGCAACATTATGATTATACTTGGCCCACATAGATAATCCAGCAAAGAAATTGTTTTGTTCCAAGGGTTGTCTAATTCAGCTTTCTTTCACCTGCATCTTTAGTTCTCCCCGTTTATGTGCTAGTCTGCTCTGCAGCATCTGCTCCCTCTTCCGTGGGTCACAGAAGAACTGCAGTTTCCTGGGCAGCAGCGTCACCTCCACAGGCATGGCTTCATACTCCTTGCTGTCGATGCTGAAGGAGCCCTTAGTTCCCTGCAGAGAGAAGGGGTTCTGAGTGCACCTCTGTGGCCTCATGGATGAGGAAGTATCTCTTCTGAGGTCAGTCTAACAAAATCTCCCAGGGCTCACTGGTCTCTCTCCAGCTCACTGTAGGAAGTTTAGGCCCTACCAGGCCAAAAGGAGCCAACCTGGAGTCTGCCTGTTGTCAGAGGCCCTGACCAATAAGGAGCGACCTAGTGATGTTTCCTGAGTGCCTAGCAACAGGCATTGTCAGAGATCCTGATCGTGCCTAACCAATGAGAGACAAGCAGGAGATGCCAACTGTAAATGGATCAGAACACCTCGGTGCTGGGAGGGTTTATAAGCTTTTCCCTGTTGTTAAATAAGTCTGCTGTAAGTCTTCTACCTGACTCCCAGTGTCTAGGACCTTGACACCTCACCTTTTCGCCCCCTCCCCTGAGGAAGACGTTAGGGCCCGGCAACATCTGGCATCCGGAACAGGGACTTCTAACACAGGGTTGGAGCTTGCCTGGTCAGAGTCCTTTTTTTGTTGTGGCTGTAATTTTTGTGTTTTGCCCAGAACAGGTTCTAGTCACCTTCCTCTCCTCAGTCCCAGTGCTGCACAGTGTCCCCAGTATGGTGTATTTTCAGTGAAAAGGTCCCTTGGTCCCTTCGGCAGGTGAGCACAGGGACCCTCATCCTCTCCTTCTTTTGAAAGGCTCCTCAGTCCCTTTAGCAAGTAAGCACTGCGATCTCCATCCTTTCCTTCTTTAGTGTTGTCTGTCAGCCCATTCAGTTAGGAAGGCACATGCTTTTCTGTTTCGGTTCGCCTGGCATCTTCACATAAGGGCTGACCCACAGGAGGTGGACCGAAGGCTGGGCTCCCGAATGCCTACCCTCATCCAGAGACATCATGTGAGCATATGGCTGTGGTCTAAAGAACCACAGGAATTCCCCACTAATCAATAGATGCATAGTGATAACTAGTGTCCGATGATTTCCCACCCCTGTTGACTGTTGATTGCCAGCTGTCCCTCTCAGAGGGATGCTGACAGGAGGGGTGGGGTGACCTGACATCCGTGGGAGTGCCACATTCTCCTCAGCAGGGAGGCAAGGGAGATGAGGGCCCGGAGGCTGGCTGTCTAGGCTAGAGGTGTGAGCTGTGACTGGTGCGAGCTTCCTGCTTGACTGAGGTCTCAGTATGCTGTCTGATCCTCGCATGTAGGTGACACTCGGAGGCATTGACTCAGAGGTAATAGGCTTCCCTAGCCTAGCACGCCATTTCTGGTGCCTGGCTCCCCTCATGTGAGCAGCATAGGCATCTGCCCTGGTGCAGGACAGAGCACACAAGCCCCAGTAAAGCAATCGGGCACAAATACACTTGACCTCAATGCATATGTACCCCATTTCACTAGTTATGATAAATATAAAAAGTGGGGAAAGCAAACAGGAGTTTAAGGCCAGCCTGAGCTACCTGGGGAGTTAAAGGCAAGCTTGGGTCTAAGAGACCCTGTCTCAAAAAAACAAACAAACAAAAAGAGTAAAAAGTCTATTATCTATCTTTATTTGGAAAGAATTCTTTCCTGTATAGATTTGTCATTAGCGTTTCAAAAGCTGCTTCCCCATGTTCCATTAAGATATTTGTTAGGGTCCAAGAGAAGCCCCCAAAGAAAGATCAACAGCCACATATACAATAACAAGAGCACTTTATTGGTTCCAACACTAGGGTGGCAAAATGGCAATCCCCCCACTCCCCAAAGAAGCTTATAGGCTCCATTTAAGTGGAGTTAATGGAATTCGAGGAAGGAGGGATATATCTGGGGTTGATTGGTGGAGGAATCAGTCTTGGAGCTGACTGGAGAGAACTGACTGGTGGCAGGGTAGGGAAAGCTATCTTTAGCTTGTGGAAGGCTGGGGGGCATCTGCTGAGCTAGCAGAAGGGCTTTGGAACCCTGATGAGCCTGCAGAAGGACTAGTCGGGGTACCTGATGGCCACCCTTAAATTGTGGTTTTCCTGAGAACTGCTTGCTTTCCTCATTCTAGTGAACTGAAACTAGGGTCTGGTCTCTGTCAGGGCTCTGGTCTGCTGCGTGCCTCCCCTCTAGCCTTTTCAATATGCAGTAGACACATGAATTACACACATTTACTTCCCTTAGGAACCAAAAGGAAACATGCTGATAAGAATGCTGACTACAGCGCCATCTAACTGAGGGATACAGGGGAGGTTTTGTTTGGCTGTCAGTTTTATAAAGGAGATTTGAATATGGCTGCCACCACTAGCCACAATCACTCAAGATACAGTGTGATCTGTGCACACTGTAGAGGGACAGCCTTTTCCTTCTTCCTTTACTGTACACCGAGAATAATCAAAGGCTGCAAGGAGCCATTAGAATCTGAAGAATTTGTATCAAAGGCAAGACAACACAGATTAATGAAAGCCATTCTGCTGCCCACGCTGGAATCGATAATGACGCAGCCATGGAGACGCAGCTGCAACAGCAGCAATGTCCAATCCCTAAGTGGGCACGAGAGGGAGCACCAGGACAATGCAAAGGCAGTTGAGCAGATTACTGGTTGGCATGGGAACACACAGCTCCATAGATACTTGGGTTACAGAATTCTCAGCCAATGGAGTTCCAGCTGAGGCAGGACTTAACAAATCAGGCAGGGCTCTGAAGAGTCTACTGGATTACTAAAGGGAAACCTGGGCAATGTCCAGGTATGTGGTGTCCTTTCAAGTTTGTTCTTGATGTTCTGGGAACAGGGAGACGGGGAATGCGTGCACAGTAAGAGATACTGGGGAGTGAGGCTCACTGTCAAAAGCCTCCTGGAGACTGACAAGCAGTCCTGAGAGAGCAGACATGATTTCTTCTGTTTTACAGACGGCAAAGGATTCAGACAGACAGACAGACAGACAGACAAGGCCTTTGCCGGGTTTCCATCTGAAGTAGACAGCCCACTCCGAACAGAAAGGGTTGACAACACAAGTTATTTCATGAACCTCCATTTCCCACAGGGCAGGCACTTACCCTATGGATATGGAATCTCCTTTGCTGACAGTATCAGGCTCGATGCAAATGTTCATAAAGTCTTCTTTGCTCTAGAAAGATGAAGAATATGAACGTTAAGACATGGAAATTGGGCTAATGCAGCTGTCACCCACAGAAGTCTGTGTTCTTTAAAATGTTTGAAATGTAAACATGACAAGCAACCCTTTCTATTTCCCAATAATCACTGTAAAGCTTTGTGGTTCTATCCATACAAAACCCTGAAAGATTAATCTGTAGGGAAGCACTGTGGCAAGAGGCACGATTACTGTGCCCTCCTCATTTTGCTCCTAGTTATTAAAGCCCAGCTTTGTGAAACAACCCAGCACATCTGTGTGGCTTTCTTGGAGTTCAAAACACATAGGCCCAGGAGAAATACACAAGCCTCTGAGCCCTTGCCAGAGCATCACAGGTACCACCAAAGCACAGCTGAATCTACTAGGAATCACACGATGCTCTGACCTAATGACTGCTCAGAGTTCACATTTCACTCTGCTACCTGCCGAGTGCCAGCGGAATTTCAGCAATCCCCGAAATGTTTGGTTTACGTCACTAACAAAAAAACACAAGGAGTTTAACCCACAAAGAACTTACATTTCACAGTAGAGAGTGCAGGGAGTAGAACAATAATTATATTTCAGAATACAGTTGAAAATAGGTATACTAGAAGTACATCAGAATATATTATAAAATGTCATAAATAGACGAGCCTCAGATGACATTGGTTGTAGTAACTTTTAAAATATTTATTTACTTTATGTATTTTGTTTGCATGTATACCCATATACTACATGTGTTCAAGATGTCCATGGAGGTCAGAAGAAGGTATCGGATCCCCTGGAACTAGAATAAACTGGTTGTGAGCCACTGTGTGGGTGCTGGGAATTGAACCTGAGTCCTCTGAAGACCTGGATCTTCTGGAAGAGTAGAAATATCTTCTACTGCGGAGCCATCTCTCCAGCCCCAGTGAGCAATACTTTAAAGAGAGCAGGAGCCCAGGAGGTGAGCAAGAAGAAATATCTTCATCTACAACAACAGTTTTCAAACAGCAGGTGCAGCAGGGGGGCTGGCCAACATCAGGATCCTGTTTGTATTTGCTGGCTAGATGTTAATTATTATACAGAGACTCAGACTCTGCTATCGTTCTCAGAGTTCCTTGTTGTGGGAGGTCCTTCTGTCTATGTGTTGCTTTTATTGGTTAATGAATAAAGGAACTGCCTTGGCCTGTTGATAGGGCAGAACTTAGGTAGGCAGAGAAAACTGGACTGAATGCTCGGAGAAGGAAGGCTGAGTTGGGGAGACACAATGGCGTCACCAAGGGAGATTGATGTGCTGGATCTTTGCTGCTAGGCCACGACCTCGTGGTGATACACAGAATAATAGAGGTTTAAATTAAGATATAAGAGTTAGCCAATAAGAAGCTAGAGCTAATTGGCCAAGAAGTGATTTAAATAATACAGTTTCTGTGTGGTTATATCAGTTCTGGGCGGCCAGTTGAACAAGTGAACTTTTCACTACAGTTCCTCACTCAGGGGCCTTCTGTGAAGCTCAAGAATTTTTATTTCAAACCATATCCAGGAATCTGATGCTGCTGATCATATGTTGGAAACCACTATTCTAGGAACAAGCCATCCACACAAAGGGAGTGCCCAGCAGAGACCTTCAGGTGGCAGAATCCCTGAAATGTACAGAGAATGGAAAAGAAATCCACATGTCTGAAAGAGACTGAGTGGCAGGGCCAAGAGAAGCAGATGAAGATGGGGAAGAAAGCATCTTGTTGGCAGGGCTCTGCAGACCACTGTAAGGAATGTGTCTTTTTGGTTGGGTGAAATGGAGAGCCGTGCAGGGCTCCAAGGAGGGTAATGTTATGGCTTTTGTAACAGGGCCACTCTGCCCACTGTGCTCGACCTGCAGAGGCAGGTGAGAGCCAGGGAGGAACATGACAGAGAAATGAGAGGGAGGAGCAAAGGTTCAGCAGATGCCAGGACAATGATATGGGGGATGATGGGACATGACATTGGGAGCTGGCCGGGAGCAGGAGGGAAATGATCTATTCACCAAGTCTAATTATTTCACAGAGGATAAGGGGAAAGAAAACAGCATATTTAAGCTTGCAGCATGTGTTTTCTGGTAACAGCCAGAGAGAGTTATCAGAAGTCTCTATGACTGCACTAGGTTCTGCAGTATAAAACAGCCATGCAGTACTTAATGTGTTAGTGTGTTCGCATTCCAACAGAATCCACAGAAACTTGAATCTGTGTGACTCCACTGGTGAAAATGTAGCGACCCCTCGCTTGAAGGCGGCTGGTGGGGTGGGCCTGTGGTTAGCCTCCAGTGACAGCTACTCTGCGGCTTTGTTCGAGGCAGTGATGTGGCCTGGAAGTGGCACCTTCTGTTAGTCTCCAGATTTTACTAGAGGAAATATCAGCCTGGACGCAGACTACTTTTGCCTGAGGAAAAGCCTTTACCATTACTGAGGAAAAGCCTTTGAAAGCATCAACACCCAAGAACTGACAACTATGTTCATGTTTACCTGGTCTTGTTATGTGCCTGAATCTCCTAGGATGGGCCGGGTTCCTGGGAGGAGTTCTTTACCTCAGGTGGCTTCTCATATACATACATCAGTGAACATGCAGACGAAGGCTACAGACATCTGTGGATCCCTGGCTCACCCCTCAAGGATGCTTTCTTTTACTTTGCCCTGCATTCTCATCGCCCCGATGGCCCTAAATTCACAAAGATGCCTTCCCTAAGGAGACCTTGGGTCCCTGGTGAGCCCCGTCTCCATTCAGCGGCCTCTGTCAAGCAGGGGCCTGGGAGAGACATCAGGCACAGCTCAGCCAAAGGCCTCCTTTCCGGGATCCCTGCCCTACGCTGTTTGTTTCTGGCCAGTTCTGCCAACAGTCATCTCATTGATTTTTCTTCAGTGTTTAAGGTGCAAAGGTAAAGCTATTGCTTGTTCTATATCTTGGCCTTCTCCATCTTTCATATCCATTCAAAAATCAACTCATATTGGCAGGTTCAATGAGAACCTGATTGTGTTAAAGGAAGATGAAAGGATATTTGATAGAATTTAATGTCTAAGATATTTAAAGTTAATAAAACTCTTGGCAAACCTTGAAAGTTTTCTTTATTAGAAACTTCCTTATCTAATAAAAGATATCCAAAAAAATTATACCGAATTCAAGAACAAAGCAACGGCTCCCATAGGGCAACGGCTCCCATAAGCACTGATCCTGTGCAGCACGGAAGGCCCCACAGGAAGTAAGGAAAGACAAGGGTGGTAAAGATGAAGTCATTAAAAGGGAGAAACAAAACTGGCTCTGTTTGTTGTTGATATAGCAAATCTAAAAGAACCCATAGGCTACACAATTAATAAGAACTTAATTAGGATGCTGATTCAGCATCAACACATACACACATACAAAGTCAATTACATGTCTGTTTCCTTAGTCAGTTAGAGAATGAAATTTTAAGAGCTATATTGATAATAGCATTAAAAGTGAGATAACCAGCAGTGCGTTCAGTAACAGGCAAATATTATAGAGAAAACCATAAAACTCCATTGAGAGAAATTGAAGACATCAGTAAGTGAAGAGATACATCACATTGATATCCCAGAAGGGTCAATACTATAGAAATGCCATTTCTCCTCAAATTGATCTATAAGTACAAGACAACCTTATGAAACTTTTATGAGGAACCTAGTAAACACTCTAAAATATTTACAGAAATCATGGAGCTGAAGAGATGGCTCAGGAGATAAGAGTGCTTAGCAGCTGCTCTTCCAGAGGGGCTGAGTTCAGTTCCCAGCACCCACACTGGGTGGCTCAACCACCTGCACAGCTCTGGGGGAAAAGATGGGCGGCACTCGAATAAACTGGCCCGAACAACTGGCTACTGAAATGAGTAAATAAAATTGGAGCCCTGTCTTCATCAGTCACCTCCACAATGCATCAGTCACCTCCACAATGCATCAGTCACCTCCACAATGCATCAGTCACCTCCACAATGCATCAGTTACCTCCACAATGCATCAGTCACCTCCACAATGCATCAGTCACCTCCACAATGCATCAGTCACCTCCACAATGCATCAGTCACCTCCACAATGCATCAGTCACCTCCACAATGCATCAGTTACCTCCACAATGCATCAGTCACCTCCACAATGCATCAGTTACCTCCACAATGCATCAGTCACCTCCACAATGCATCAGTCACCTCCACAAAGCTCACTTTCATGTGGCAGCTTTTCTCTTTTGAATAAAAATGAAACCAACCATCTCATGAAAATCATTTTAAGTTGATTTTCACTCAGCCATATATGGTTAGCATTTTGCCACATTAGTAAATACAAAGATCACATATTACTTTAAATAAAAGCATAATATTCATTTAATCAACCTATTGAATGTGTTGCTGTTAAAGAATAAACATGCTTTATTAAGAGACATTAAATTTCTGACATTCTACACTCCTAAAGCTGTTTTCATACTTGGAGATAATATTTTAATGATAAACACTTCAAGCTATTACATCAGCTACAGTATCTGAATATCTACCTTATTTGCTTTGCAAAGCGGTGGGGAAAAAAGAAAAGAAGAATGTGCTCCACTAGCGACAGCCCAGTGTCGCAGACCTTTGTAATGAGCACAAGGAGAAGAGCAGTCAGCGTCCTGGCTGTGGCTCACCTAGAGCTGCAATCACAGCTCAGTTCAGTGCATCACAGAGATTCACTCATCAGAGAACAACGGCAAAGGAGGACAAGCAATAAATATCCTGGGAATACACTGTCACCAAAGACTAAGAATAAAGAAAATGTGTAATAGAGATTTTATCTTCTTTTCAAAAATCCCCTGAACAAAGGACTTTTCAACCTCTTGGTTCACGGTAGTTTCAGAATTCTGTCTAAGTACACTAAGAATTTAACTGTTCACGCCCACAGCTAAACAACTATACTTGCCAGGACAAGGGGCATGCATGGGTTCTAGACTCTGTATAGACACTGCCAAAAATAGTGTCACAACTTAGTTTACTGAAGGCTAGGAGA